ATCATTGTATAATTGAAACCAAAGCACAAAAAATTGTAAATCTACAACTTTAAAAAAAAATAAAATAAAATAAAGGGAAAAAAAAAAGAAGAGGTGCTGTAGTTGCAGGTTAAATTACTTTATTGTCAGTTACCTTAGCTCATGGAAAAGAGGTTTTAAATAAAGTCAGAGTTCATTTTGAAGCTAGGCAAAAGCAGAGCCAGTCGAAGCCTCTGAAAGTTATCCTTGGAAGAGTGCCAGCCTCAGTTTACAACGCAGTCATTAATGAACAAACAGCAGGCCTACGTGTGGGAGAGAGGGGATGTTGAAGGACCCCTATGCCCTCTTTTGCGAACATCAAACCCCTGCACGTATACTGCAGACGTCAGCCCCTGCAGGTGCACCCCTTAATTCATTAATGTGATAATGCTAAACACAGTTTGGTAACCTAATGACCTTCCCTGTCTCTTTAATGCACTGACCTGGTTAAAAAAATAAAGCAGAACTTGTATTGGGAAAGATAAGGATAAAGAACTCTGTAAATTGGATTGTGGTTAAACACCCTTGAACATGAAAGGCCTATGTAAAGATTTGCAGCAGATGCCTCTGTACCGTTTTTGGGAACTTATGAAGAGACTAACGTAATGTCTGATAAGGACCCCTGGTTCTTTGTTCTGTAACTGTATAATAAGAGGAACTCTGGGCTCAATAAACTCGCAGCAGCACTCAGCCTCTCTTGTGTTGGTGTCTGTCTGTCCATCGCGCCGAATCTCCTGCTTTCCTGCAGACCTTCTCCCCTGTTTTTCCCTCAGCCTGGTGGTCTTCGACCGAGCCAGTCTGCGGCAGTGACCTTAGTTAGCACCTGAAGCAGCCTCAGTTGGTGAGAACTTCGAGATTTGTGGGACTTACATGCATTTGCTCTGAATTTGAGTGTGGAAAGTGCAGGGCTTTTAACCTCATTATTTTGGGTACCATCTTGTAACCAATGAGGAGGGGACCTTTCTATAAACAGGAGTCAAAAGATGGGGAAAGCAAAATTAGGTGCCAGTGTCACATTCTGAGCTCCTGGATCCACCCTGGCTTGAAGGCAGCAAGATCTTACTCTGGATATTTCAGTGATTTCCTTAAGTTGGTTTGTTGGATTTTTCAATCTTGCAGGACTAGCCTGGACATTCAAACAGTAGCAAGGAGATATTTGTTTGCTTGTTTGTTTTAGAAACCTGAACTTTTGAAAAAAATTTTACTTTATTGAATCACTGTGAGGTACAGTTACAAGCAAGGAGATATTTGTACTGATTGGTCTCCATTGGCAGGGAGTAAATGCACCATGAAAGGAGTTGGAGACTGGAGAGGACATGGGATAAAGAGCTTGCTAACAATTCCAGTTCCATCCCCTGCACCAGATATGCCCCCAAGTAAAAGACCTAGGAGTAACATCTGAGCACTTCTGGGAGTGATGAACACCCCCTGCAACCCCCCCCCCCACAAAAAAGACTAAAAAAAGGACCATGGCAAACCCACTCCTGCCTGCTGGTTTTCCTGCAAGAATCAGGGTAGCACCCAACTCTTCCATGTTTTTGTTTATTAAAGTCACATTGGTTTACAAGTCTGTGTATATTTCTGGAGTACCACTGAACCCTTCTTCAAAATCTATGTTCTCCACAAGGGATTGCCCTGCCCAGAGTCAGGGTGGGATGGGGGGGACGGGGGTGGGAGGGATATTATCCATGGTGGTGGAAAATGGGCACTGGTGGAGGGATGGGTATTTGATCATTGTATAATCGAAACCCAAGCACAAAAAATTGTAAATCTACAACTTTACCTCATGGTGTTTCACTAATAATAAAAAAAAAAATTGTAACATGTTTGACAGCACATCACAAGTTGAATAAAAGCCAGAGAGAAAACAGTATAAAACTTTAAAGGCAAACATGGGATTTGAATAGACTAGTGAAAACAGATAGTTATATGTTAATTGACCCCAAGAGCATCACTATATTATGACATGATATAAAAACTAAAAAGTATAATAATTCTCTTGATTCAGGGAAAAAGATAAAAAAAAATCTATGTTCTCACACCACACCCATCGCACAAGTACCAGTATCCCTCCACCACAATCTGCTGGCCCTCCTCCACCTTTGATCTTCTTCCTTCTTCTTCTGGTGACTTAATTCTGTGATTACAATCCCACAGTTTGTTTTCATTGGACTTTATCTATTCCCTGGCTTGGTTTCTCTAGATCCCACACATGTGTGAGCTCATCTAGTGTTTGTCTTTCTCCTGACTTATTTTGCTTAGACAATCGCCTCCAATTCCATCCATGTTGTTGCAAAAGGCGAAGTCTCATCTCTTACAGCTGAGTGATATTCGTGTGTGCCTGTGCGTGTATGTGTGCGTGTGCATGTGTGTGTGCGTGTGAGTGTATGCGTGTGTTTGTGCATGTGCATGCATGTGTGTATGTCACATAAAACAAACTAGGCACCCAGGATACACAAGACCTGTTATAGGAATGTTTCGGAAGTCTAGTGTGGCTACAGCACACCTGCCACCAGGGTGTTGGTGCCACATACCCCCACTCCCTTCTCGCCCCTCTCCCACATGTACTCAGTCTGATAGCCAGACTCTCTGTTATATTGTTCATTCCCTTCCTGCATTCCTTTACACTCTACATAATTGTGAGACCATTTGGGATTCATCTTTCTTCCTTTGCTTTGTGTATCATGAGGCCACCCAGTCCCGTTCAAGTTGCAGCAGATTGCAAGATTTTCTTTTCTCTTATGGATGAATATTATTCCATTGTGTGTATATACCACAGTTCCTTTTTCCAGCCATCCGTTATCAGATATTTGGGTTGTTTCTGGATCTTGACTGCTGTGAATAGCACACGATGAACACAGGAATGCAAACACCTTTTCTAATTAGTGTCTTTGTGCTCTTGGGGCAGAGGCCAAAAAGAGGAATATCTGAGTCAGATGGAAGTGCTATTCTTGAATCTGGGGGAGGTTTTATACTGTTTTTCAGAGAGGCCAAATCAGACAAGAGTCTAACTAACAGTGACTGAGAGCTCCATGTTCACTGCATTCTTGCCAGCGTGTGTTTGTTTACAGTCTTTTAAAAATTAACTACTTATTGGGGCTGGAGCGATAGCACAATGGGTAGGGCATTTGCCTTGCACGTTACTGGTGCCCGCTTGAGCCAACGATGAACAACAGGAGGACAGTGCCACAGTGCCACTTATATAAACACTTTAAGAGATACCAGTATTTACAATACTATTAATCATACTATTCTTGCATACCTCATTCCAATACTGCACCCATTACTAGAGACCCTTGTCTAAGGGTCTCTCCCACCCACCTGCTTCCATGTAAGCTCAGTTCAATAGACAAAATCTTCAGTTCTGGTGACTACGACCACTTGTTTTGTTCCTTTACTCTATGGATGTAAATATAGGAAAAACCTGTTTTGATATTGAACAGTTAATATAAATGAAATGTTGGAGCGATAGCACAGCGGGTAGGGCGTTTGCCTTACAAGCGGCCAACATGGCCGACCCGAGTTCGATTCCTCCGCCCCTCTCGGAGAGCCCTGCAAGCTACCAAGAGTATTCAATATGCCAGACACAGTAACAACAAAGTCTCCAATGGAGACGTTACTGGGCCCGCTCGAGCAAATCGACGATCAACGGGAGGGCCTTTACTTTATTCATGATTAATGATTTATAAAATTCCTTAGCAAGCTAAGAGTAAATGTGTGTTTCTTAATATAATAGAGGGCCACTGTAAGTGCCATGAGTAAATCCCATACTCAATGCTGAGTGCAGGAAAGTTTGCCCTGTCTTTATTTTTTATATATATATATTTTTTGGGGGCCACAGTCAGCAGTGCTCAGGGATTACTCCTGGCTCTGAGTTCAGGGATCAGGATCCTGGTATAACTTCAGGGGACCATATGGGGTGCCAGGGATTGAACCCAGGTAGGACGCGTGCAAGGCAAACGCCCTACCTGCTGTACTATCACTCCAGCCTCCTGCCCTGCCTTTTCAAGAAGCTTCTTTAATGCTGCTTCGAAACTGATTCCAAGACTATGAATATCCTAAACTGTTGCGTCCATGAAGCTCTCATGTATCATCCCTCCAAATCTGAATGATAATCTGGCTGGATAGAATATCTGCGGTGAGTTGCTTCTTTCTTTTTCTTTTTCTTTTTCTTTTCTTTTTGAGTCACACCCAGCAATACTCAGGGGTTACTCCTGGCTCTGCACTCAGGAATTACTCCTGGCAGTGCTCACCCCATATGGGATGCTGGGAATCTAACCCGGGTTGGCCACGTGCAAGGCAAACGCCCTACCCACTGTGCTACTGCTCCAGCCCTGAGGTGCTTATTTCATTGAAGTTTTGTACTATAATTCCTTCATTCTCTCCTGATTTGGGGATTCTCAGTTGCTACCTCTGCTGTGACTTTTATGGACTTTCCTGTGTTGATCTTGATCTTGCTGATTTCGATAGTCTGTCTCTGACTTTGTTTTTTGTGTCATTCTGAGTACATTTTGTCTCAAAATTTTTCTATTTGAGTCTATTCTTTTTGCTGGAACCTTCAGGTTTCTTGTCATTGGCTTTCTATATTCCTCAACTCTGGGAAATTCTTATGTAGAATTTCTTAACTATCATCAAATTCACCCTCTTTTTTTCCCAGGGACCCTGATGATCCCTACATTGTTCCTCTTAGGACCCTCCCATAGTTCTCTGGCATGCTGTTCATTGCTTTTCAGACATTTTCCTGTCTCTGTTGTTTTCTAGAGGTGTCCTGCATCTCATCTTGGAGATCGCTGAGCATCTCCTCAGCTGCTGTTCATCCGCTGCTCAGTCTTCTGTTTTATGGCACCTACATGCCTTTCATTCCTGTCCTTTCTGACTATAGTTTTCTCATTGCATCTTTGCTGCTTTTCCATGCTTTGCTGCCTGCTGTGCTGTCTTTCCTTTGAGCTCGCTAAACAACCTCACGACAGTGTCACTGAAGTCGCCTTTGTGTTGCTCTTTCACTTTGGAAACTAGTGAACCTGGTGTCAAGCAAGGCGTAAAGTAAGGGTTTTCCGGCCTGTGAACTGCGGTCTCCATCGTGGGAACTGCACGAGGAACAGGCGTCTGTGGCGGGTTACACTGTGCTGTGGAATCCCCAGTGTGGGCTCACCTACTCGGAGCTCAGTTCTGTGCAGTTACGTGGGTGTGTGAAACCATGAGACTGGAAACCACGTGGGAGCACGAGGGTGACCTCAGGGTGCCTTCGGTAGCAGTTTGGAAACCATCATTACAGGAGTTGCTTGGGTCATTTGAAATTTCCAGGCATCTGTGCGAGAGAGATTGAGTCTGGGATAAAGGTGCTTACTTCAGGGACTGGAGCGATAGAACAGTGGGTAGGGCATTTGCCTTGCATGTGGCTGACCCGGGTTCGATTCCCAGCATCCCTTATGTTTCCCTGAGCACCACCAGGAGTAATTCCTGAGTGCAGAGCCAGGAGTAACCCCTATGCACCGCCAGGTGTGACGCAAAAAGCAGAAAGAAAGAAAGAAAGAAAGAAAGTGCTTGCTTTACATGCAGTCCTTCCCAGCTCAAACCCAGGCACCACATATCGTCTCCCAGAACCCCATTATTTTTGTAATGACCAAAATAAAATAAACAAAACCCCTAAATAAATAAAAGTTCCAGGAGGTTGAGGATGCTGTATGCATTTAATTTTTTTTTAATTAAATCACAGTGAGATACACAGTTACAGAGCTATTCATGATTGGGTTTCAGTCACATAATGTTCCAACACCCGTCCCTTCACCAGTGTACGTGCAGTGTACATATACCAGGTGTATGCTTTTTTCCTTTCCTTTTTTGGGTTACACCCGATGATGCTCAGGGGTTACTCCTGGCTCATGAACTCAGGAATTACTCCTGGCGATGCTCAGGGGACCCTGTGGGATGCTGGGAATCAAACCCGGTTTGGTCGTGTACAAGGCAAATGCCCTACCTGCTGTGCTATTGCTCCAGCCCCAGTGTATGCATTTAAAAAAAAATAAAGTGCTGCTAAAGTCATTCTCTGATGAGTGACAGACAGAGCTGGTTTGTGCTGGTAGATCCTTTTGTGTTACTGCTTGCACTCATGCTCACCAACTTGGCTTCTGCGTGTTTTCCCTATTGGTTTTGCAGCATTTCTGCTGCAGTCGGGGTGACTCTTTGCAGTTAGACCCTTGGGAGTCCTGAAGGAATTAGGCAGAAGTGGCTTTTTTCCTTTCCTGGTGTTTTCACCCAGTGGCACAAAATGTAACTGAGCCTTGTTGAGCAGAGCGGTTGCATGATGCGTAGGCGGGAGAGCGCCTCAGGGTTGGTAAAGCTGAACCCAGGGGCTCAATAGTCTTTTTAGTGTGAGTTGGTCTATAATTTGTGCTTTCTTTCTTTCTTTCTTTCTTTCTTTCTTTCTTTCTTTCTTTCTCTCTCTCTCTCTTTCTTTTTTTCTTTCCTTCCTTCTTCCTTTCTTTCTTAAAGAAGTTCTATTGGATCACCATGAGATGCAGTTACAAATTTGCATGATTACGTTTCAGTCACACAATGCTCGAGCACCCATCCCTCCACCAGTGCCCATTTTCCACCACCACTGTTTCCACTGTCCCACCCCCCACCCCCACCCCACCCCACTCCCCGCCTCTGGGGCAGGTACCCATCCTTCTTACTCTCTCTCTCTAATTTTGGACATCATGGGCATTAGGGAGAGCCTGGCAAGCTACCGAGAGTATCCCGCCCACGCAGTAGAGCCTGGTAATCTACCCGTGGCATATTCGATATGCCAAAAGCAGTAACAGTAATGGGCCTCATTCCCCTGACCCTGAAAGAGTCTCCAATATGGCAGCGTTGGGAAGGACGAGTACGGAGAGGCTGCTAAAATCTCAGGGCTGAAAGGAATAGAGACATTACTGGCAACCGCTCGTGCAAATCACTGAACAACGGGATGACAGTGACAGTGACACAGTGATGGTTTACAATACAGACTCAGAGGCCATTGTGTTTGGTCCTTGTGCAGTATTTCTTCAGTTTCCCCCTATTTTCAGATGAAGCTGTTGCTTCGCTGTTGTGTTTAGTGAGTTCCTTTGGCCTCTTGAGGGTCCCTTTCTTAGATATATCACATTTAAATTGTTCTCCCATTCAGTAGGGTATCATTTTGTTCTGTTTTTGTTTTATTTACTTATTTTGGTTGCCAAGTTTTCTTCAAGAACTCATACAAAACATTCCAGATGAAGGCGCTTTCATCCTTGTCCTCCTCTTCCTCCTCTTCCTCCTCGCCCTGGTTGATCTGGAAGTAGCCCTACTCATAGCTCTCTTCACTGTGGGCCACCACCCGCCACCAATCACGTAGGTTGTTCTTCAAATAGTTTTCGGTGAGATATTTCAAATACCTTTTGGAAAAAGGCACCTCCGACGTGACAGTGACCTTCACCACCCAGACTCCCCGCTTTGCCATTCACCAGGATTTGCTCCTGAAGAAACTGCTCGAAATGCGTAGTGTCCATGATCCCACCTTGCACAGGGTGTGGGCAGTCCAGGGTAAATTTAAGAACTTGCTTCTTTTTCTGATCCCCCTTTGCAACAATTTTTTCCCCATGGATGCCATGGTGGCAGTGGAGGCAGAAAGGGCTCATTTTGCTTTAATGACAGTTTTTTCTGCTGGGCCCAAGTTGTTTAGTTTTGTTGTTTGTTTGTTTGTTTTTGTTTGGGGGGCAAGCTGGCGATATTCAGGGCTTACTCGTGACTCTGAATTCGGGAATTACTCCTGTTGGGAATCCGGAAACCATCTGGGATTTCAGGAATCAAATCTGGGTTAGCAAACAAGTAAGGCAAACACCCTGCCCACTGCACTATCTTTCTGGCCCCTGGAAGTTGTTTAGTTTAACGTTTCATTTAATTCTCTTTTCTGATTTTTGATGTAATTTCCCTTGTTGTTGGAGTTAAATCTCCAAAGCAATCACTGGATCCAGGATCACGAAGTATTTTGCTTATTTTTTTATTTAACATATTTTATAGTTTGGGGCTGGAGTGATAGTACAGTGGGTAGGGTGTTTGCCTTGCACGGCCGACTTGGGTTGAATTCCCAGCATCCCATCTGGTCCCCTCCCCCTCCCCGCCCCCCCCCCCCCCCCAGCACCGCCAGGAGTAATTCCTGAGCGTAGAGCCAAGAGTAACCCCTGTGCATCGCCGGGTGTGACTCCAAAAGAAAAAACAAACAAAAAACAAAAAAACAGCAACAACATATTTTATAGTTTCAGGTCTAATATCCAAGTGTTTAATACATTTTGAATTAGGTTTTGGGTTTTGTGCGAAATAGTGATTGATTTCTTTTCCATAATTATCCTGTTTTTCCCAACTCATTTAACGAAGAAAATTTCATCTCTCTTTTATAGCCTTGACCCCTTTATTGTAAATTAATTGATCATATATGTGAGGATTTAACTCTGGGTTCTCAGAAATGCCGGAATTATATTCCATTGATAGGTGCGTTTTGGTTTTTTATTTCTGTACCACCCTGTTTTGATCACTGTGGCTTTGTAGAATAGTTTAAGGTCAGGGAGCATGATGTCTTCCTTCTTACTTCTTGTTCTTTCAGGATCACTTTAGCTGCTTGGAGGCTTTGTGATTCCATACAAATTTCAATAACATTTATTCTCTTTTCTTGAATAAATTATTCTCTTTTCTTGAAGAAGTGGGGATTGCGTTGAATCTGTATGAGACTTGAGTAGGATGGCCATGTTCACAATGATATCCATGACAGGGGATATCTTTCCGACCCCTTGTGTCTTCCCCTTTTACTTTGAGCAGTGACAGAGTTCTGATGTAGAAAAATTTCACTTCCTTTGTTAAGTACTTGCTTGCTTTTACGGCCACACCCAGTGCTAGTCCAAGCACTGCACTCAGGGCTTGTTCCTGGTGGGGCTCAAGAGACCATATAGTGTGGAGAGCAAGTCCAGGCCCCCACGTGTGCTCCAGTCCTTTGTGATATGTACCAGGCCCCTTAATTATTTCTTTTGTGGAGGGACCACATCTGACAATGCTCAGGGTTCCTCCTGGCTCTACACTCAGGAATTACTCCCGGCAGTGCTCGGGGGACCAGATGGGATGCTGGGAATCGAACCTGGGTTGGCCGCGTGCAAGGCAAACGCCCTCCCCGCTGTGCTATCGCTCCAGTCCCCCTTAATTATTTCTGACGCGGCTGTACACAGCATTGTTTTCATTTCCCTCTCTACTAATCGTTGCTTTACACAAGCTTCTTTGAACAAGAGACAGGCCAATGTATGCCCTGCATCCATATGTATGTTTCTGAAATGCTGTGGCCTCCTGACTTCACTTTTGAGTGTCCTCTTGTGGACTCTGACACAATGTTTCTTGCCATGGTAACAGCCTGTGTTGGTCCTTTCTTGCCATCCAAGTACTTGACCCCGGCTGGGCCTCCTCCCTTCTCTGTGTTTCAGTCATACCTCTTGGGGAATGTCGTATCTCAAGACGGGGTTCAGCCCAGTTGTTCTCATTTCTTGGAAGCTGGCCACGTGCTCACTGCCATATAATCAATGGTCTCGTTCATTCTCCAAACAACCTTTTTCCTTCTCATGTTGTTGGTGAGGAACTTAAGGCCCAGAGAAATCAAGTCACGTGGCCACACTCTCACAGGTGTAAGTGGTAAAGGGAAATGATTAGCCAAGTAGTACCCACACCCACAGCTCCCTGGTCCACAGTCTGTGCCCTTAGCCGCTGTGTACCTGTGAGCTTCCTGTCTTCAAGGTCATGACCTAGGCCAAAATGAATCAATGCCAAGGTCACTGGTTAGTGCTGAAACATGTTTCCTCACCATTGGAGAGTCTTCCTTCCACGTCTCACTCACACCCTCCCTCACTCTCACTCACTGTGTCTGCCACTTGGTCCAGGGCCCTTCTAGTCACAGGAGGCTGCTTAAACTTGGCAGAGCAGCAGCAGTGCCACAGTTGATGCCATATGGGAGGTCCCAGCCTGTGTTGATGGATGGGATTGGTGGGTAAATATGCCAATTTCCCTACTCTACCGGGAATGTGTGTGTGTGTGTGTGTGTGTGTGTGTGAGAGAGAGAGAGAGAGAGAG